ATCTTCAAGAACTTCACATCCAGTAAAACAAAATGGATATTGCGCTACCTTTATCGAGTGTCTTTTCGAGTTTAATTTTAAAGTTAAACCTACGCAACCAATACTAGTATAAGAGTAGTGGTCAGGCTTTGTCTATTTTTGTATTGAGAACAAGAGCGAAAAAATGCATTTTTATTAGTGGTAATCTCGAACAGTGACGTTAAAGTACATTCCAATGACATACCCTAAGACACAGCTACAGACAACAGTATACAAATATCTGCCGCTGCATAGGGTTGAGATTTTCAGACCTTTCTGGTGTACTGCTTGGCAGGCGAATGCCAAGCATGTAAATGCTATTTAAGAAAAAAACTCTTGATATGTTTCTTAGCTTGTTTCAGTTTATTAAAATGAAGTAAAGCCACTAGGAGTGTGTTTATCCACCCGCCCCGGATGGGATGGGTGAAAAGAGGCAGTGAGAGAAAATGTCTTCCACAAGAACACTGAATAACCCGGCGAAGAATTCTAATGGCTGCACTGGTTTTATTCCTTAGGTGTTCTATATAATCAGTTTCTCTCGCAAGCAGACTTTGAAACATTAAAGAAGTATGCCGAGGTAAAGTCACTTGTTTTCCTTTGTTTTGTTTTGTTTTTTCTTTTTTTATCAGCTGCATGTATATTAGTTGATGAAGCCATAACAGTTATGTGTACCTCTCAGATGCCTACGCTCCAAGTGTCGTTTTTTGGCACCCTTCAAGAACAATAGCCTCCCATACCCAGACGCTTTTTAGGCACGTCACGCGCACGCAAGCTTTCGTGACGAGCCAAAAAACCTGTCTGGGTAGAAGCTTCAAGAACACTAGAACATGCTAGAACTGAACACTTTTTTTAATTGCACTCTCTACTCAAGTAGGGCGAAAGAACAATCCGTCGCGTTTGTCTGCAAGTTGTCTGCTATTCCGTGAAACCGTAAGCTTGGTTTTCTTGGAAACGGGGTTCTTTTCCATGCTCCTTGAGGTCTGGCAAAACCTAAGATAGCGTATGTTTTAATTACGATGTTAGTGGCACAATGTGGGAATTTGCCGAAAACATATTTATAACCACAGGATTTTTGTGACTGAATTGCCTCTTGCAGCACTTCATGACCATATTTTACTCAGCAGACTTTACTGAAACTGCCTTCAAGTGTTATATATCACACATGTTTTTTCATGTTTTAGGATCTTGGTGTTCTAATGTGGGCCAATTCGTCAAAGAGAGTTATTGTCGTCAGCCGCTCAGGCCATGACGATGTTAAACGGTTTTGGAAAAGACAGAAACAAAACACGTGACACACGCTGCTAGTCCCAGACTCGACCATTTCCACGTGACGAGCACGTAAACTACGACAAACACACAGGATCTAACACTTGCGAGTTTGCGGGTTTGGCACTTTGGATAGAAGTCAAAGAGAACTGACTCGTGACACCGAAATGAACAGATGAGGCGGTTTACGGACAAATCATTCTACGCTTTCTAACACCCTCATGCCAAAAAAGGAGATATATTTTATATTTATTTTGTATCATATTAGTAACGCCGTTAAAAGTTGTACATACTTGTGACCTTATAAAGTGCGTTAACCGTAACTACGTGGTGGTCCAAATTAAAATGAAAAGGAAATTGCGCACTCAGTGTTCTTATAGGGCATTTAGGATCACGTGGAGGTTTTTAAGTAAGCCGTCCTCGTACGAAAATACTCTTTCAAATTTTTATTTATTTACCATAGTTTCCACTTCTGGAGGAAAAACTCTTCAAGTTCCGTAGCAGAGAGAGGGCGTTATGAACAAACCGAGATACGTGCAGTGTTTTCGTGTCGCTCTGCGTGGGTCCTACATAGGGTCTACCTTTTGTCTTTTTGCTGAAAAAGAAATCTTCAATCACAATATCCTAACAGCATTGAGTCCTGTAAGGAACTCGTGTGTCACGATTTGGAGTACGATGGGGATCAAAGTTATTGTCCTTTTTACAATGTGGCATTTTTCGCCTTGCTCTCGGCGTAGTCTGACCTGCTCTTGCAATATATATATATTTTTTTTACCAGAATCGTTCAGTTGTGGGACTGTAGCTTGCCACCAATCGATATCAATCGATATCTGTTAACTAATCAGTTCATCTATTGGTTTTGCAAGTTGATGGATAGAGAGCACTTTCATCCTTGAACAGCGATCAGTTCCCTCATCCGGTCGGCGCGGGTCTTTTGTCATACGATTCTTAAAATGGAGTCTGTAAAAACAAGAAAAAAGATCATTCAAGAATTAGAAGAATAAGACTGGCTTATGAATCTGTGTAGGTCTAATCAGATTACTTGTGGTAGCGTATTAAAAATCGCGAAAGCATGAAGTATCTGTACGGAAGTCTCTACTGTAAAAAATGGTAAATCATCCCTGGTGAATCGTATCCGCATTGGTTTGTAAAAGTTGTCTCAGTGATAACTTTTGACGATCCACTGATCTGTGACACTGCATTCCTTGCCAATAAATCTGCAAACACAAGGTATATAGAGAAGCAACAAAGTTCAGTGATCTAAGTCAAACAATATGATGTCCTGTTTGCGGTTGCACGATATCCCAAGACAGGAAATACCGATATTTAGCCTTAGCCAATGAGTCTGCACGTCTCGTCGCGTCTCTCTTTCATATGTAAGCTTATGTACAGAGTCACCATTTAAGCATTTCAAAACAAGTAACCTCTCATATCCGGATCGAAAACCGGAAGAACAAAACATACCAGAAAAGAAATATTACAGAGAATCTAAACAGAGATTGTTTCGTAAAAAAAACAAACTTTGAATGTTCCAAATGCTTTTTTAATGCTATTAAAATAGTCGAAGGTTTGGGATTTTAAAATCATGTAAAATGCGATTTGCGTTAAAGACATACTTGAGGTCAAACTGCGGACCGCGTGTTCTTTTTGCTGTCGAGGAAGAAGTTCGTAAAAGAACTGCCTCGAAAAACTACGTAGTAGAAAACTTATTAAATGCAGAATTCGCAAAAATTGAAAGTAGGTAATTAACTTTAATTACGGTGTGACACGCTCTAGCAAATGGCACAAAATGAGTGGGATTCACTCTTAATCGATTTTGTATCGGAGCAATCCCATTTGTTTCGAATCCTCTTCGAAGCTGTTAGCTCGTTTTTAATTAGTATTTGATTGTTATGCGGTTGACATAGCCTTTCGGTGTTGTAATTAACTTTTCAAAAGGAGTGGTGTCATAACTTCACGTACCGAATATGAAAGCGCAAAATGAAAGACATTTCTTGTCAGAAACGACACAAAGAGCTCTCGCTTTCAACAACTTATTTTAGCACGGTTGACGGACCTATATTTCAGCTAAAAATGGCTTTAGTTTAGATGCTCTTTTACATTTCATTGTATCAACTTCTTTCAAAAAACTACGTGATTCCTGTGTAACTAAAAAAAACTTCCTTTATCTCAATTTTCAAAGAAACCCACAGCCCTTTGTTTGTTTTCAGATCGGGTAATTTACTAAAATTAGCCACTAACGAGCGCGCTATTGTTCCACTTGTCACCTCAAAAGCCTCGATTGCGCGTGGACTGTGTTATGAATTTTTCACCCGGTTAAGATGTCCGCCTCACCAATGGATGCGAGACAGATTGGAAGACACGTTTTTCTCTTCTCGAAGCAAAACAGCTGTGAGGGATCTCCTACAATTATTGCCAAACCTGTGGATATCACACAGGATTTACCGAGGGAATTTCTTCGCTACTTAAAAACGTTGTTCGACATTCTCGATGAGAAAGGAACTGGCTTCGTAAAGCTCACGGACATAGAGTCACGGTGGAAAACCAAACATGGTTCGAATGGTCTCAGCGAGGGAGTGATTGAAAATTTGCGTAAAGTTACACCGAAGAATGGCCTTCTTAGCTTCGAAAGGTTGTGCACGGGTATGAAACTGGCCCTGAAAACGCAGCCACGCGCTCAAACAAATGGAATCAACGGAACAACAAACGGCCTTGATCACTCAAGCAAACGGTCAAACTCACTGCCGCAGCTGGACACAACCTCAAAAGATTGGACTTCCGACTCCAGCGAGGACTCGTTTGCGGGCATTGAAAGGAGGAATAAAGTTCAGATAATAAAAAAATTACGAGATTGGAAGGATGACAGTCAAGGAAAGCGACGCTCGCAGAGTTTTAATACGATTGCAAACAGTTCAACAGGCGGGAACGACAGCCCGAGCTCCGGAAGTGCGAGTGAGTGTTTCTTTTGTTATTGTCCTTACGGTGAAAAGTAAATGATATCCATGGGAACTGAGGCTTGAAACTAAAAATAACCACCGCACTTTCCTTTGTGGTTAGCATTTTTCTAATTAAATTTAAGCTGTAACATACGAGTGAAATTTGTTGTTTTCAGGCGGTGAACTTCATAAACGAACTTGCGTTAATTGAAAAATATCTAAGCTTAAAGGTGTCGTAAGATAACACACACGGATTACAAGCGTACCGGGTGGTTTATCTACGCAGCCTTGTCTGTCACACATGTTTGAATGTTACTTGATTCAGACTGTTCGTTCAAACAAGCTACGAGATGTTTGTTTGTTCGGTAGATCACAGCCACTCGGCTGAATTTGCATCGAAAAAGGAAAGGAATGTTCCTCGGATCTCGAAGAACTGCTAATTATCTCTCAGCATCAGATCAACTTAAAATGTGTCGAAAGTTTTATTCCAGAATTTTCAGAGTAAAACGGAGATTGCCACGAGGCCATAACATTTTTTTTGCAACAAAAATGCTTTTACGCCTCTGATCTTGATCCCAAGTTGTAAATGTTTAGTGACATTCACTAATTCCTTTGGCGTCAGATTATTGCTAAAAGGAATTAGAAATTCTAATCCGCAATCTTCAAATAAAACCGATCGTGTAGTGCTGTAAACCTTGACTCAAAAACAATAAAGATCATGATTCAAAGATACATGTACCAGCTGTTCTCACTGCTGGTAGTCTTGTGTTATGTCTAAATAGTATGTCAGAACACTATATACACTGTAGATTGATCAGATCAAGAATAATTGCGGTTGAATTCATCATCCAAATATTTGAATGGCGGCAGATTATCCTTTAGGAGTAAACTGAGTTCTTTCTAGAATTTTAAGTAATCCATTTGCACCAGCTGGCATACCGATTACGGGGATGACTGAATGAGAATTAAGGGAGCTGTGTCATGCAATATTGTGTCATTTTACCTTCAAATCAGGCAAAATCTTACAGAATACCACCCAGAGTAAGTTAAAATGAATAATAATGAACCAAAAATACTAGTTGTTGTGAAAAAATTAAATAAATAAAAAATAAAAACGCTTTGAGGAATATTACAAACTTATTTATCAAGTTGTGCTATCTATGATGTTATCAAATGATTCATCTACAGGGCTGTTGCATTTGATATTTGCACTTCCCAGCTAAGGACCTAGTATCCGATCTGCTAAAGTTGTCTGAAGAATATATTTGTTGTGGAATTAAATATATTTCTTTGTGGAATTTAGGCCTTTCCTGGCCAGCTTCCCAGAATGTCCTGTTTCTGATCTCTGTTGTCTCTAGTCTCTCAGTACTAAGAGTGGTATTACCTTTAGAAAATGTTATAGGTCTTGCTAAATTGCATTAACCACGTCAGATAGCCGCATGAATTCTTGCTAGTGGAAATTCTCTTTATTAAACTGAGCCTAGGAGTAGCAGACATAGTGACTTAACACATTATCAACATAACTTCAATAAGAATTACAGGAATTTCAACCTTATGAGAAGTGGAAATCAGCCTGTAGGCCCACATGTCATTTTGGTCACTTAAGTCCTGAGCGTTATTCACGTTTTTCCAAAATAATGTTTTGCAATCCACGTTTCTGCAATGTTTACCACATACGTGTACTTAGCCACAGAGTCTAGAATCTTTCCAAATCTTGATCTTGAATCAAAACCTGAAATACGTTGTCATATTAGTATATTAGGGTACTTTTTCTCAATTGCAGTGGAATAAAATATAATGTTAGAGGCTTTATTCATTTATGTACTGATGCATGCTTTCAGGTCCATCATCTGGGAATGGAAGTCCAATAGGAAGGTCAAACTCAACTACAAAAGTCTACTTTGTTGGTAAAGAAGTCAGCCCTATTGTGCAGACAAATGGAAATGGGCATTCAAGGCACTCCCCAGCTCCTTCTGAATCTAACAAATTTGATAAGGTATGAATATTATTGTTAGTTCTTGTGTGTTATATTTTGGCACCAAATGCTATCAGATAAAAATAGATATCAGAAAAAAATATTGGATACATCTTCATATCTGACAAAATTTAAAGAAAATAAACAAACATGACTTGTCAATGAAAACCACATCAAGGCTTTTAAATGATAACAAGGAGGGTTTTATTTTGGTAGACCTGTAAATTTGTGAAATAGAACTATGGTATAGTGACAATGTATGTATATTTATTTTGTTCTATAGAACAACAAATGCCAAATACCTCACATAAATGGAAAAAAATTACAGTTCCCTCTTAAGATTTCGAGCTTCAATACAAAAATGTTCTGTTACTACAGACTTATGTCTGCATAATATTATATAATTTGTGTCTATCAATAGCAGTTACAGTTTACAATATGCACACTGGCAGTTTACAACAGGCAGTTTGCTAGTGTGGAGAAGTATACTAACCCTTACTATAGTCCAGTGAGAGTATTTTTTACTACATGTTACAACTGATTAACACTCTCTACATTCCACATTGTAGAGATTTTAATCACATTCTCTATTTTCCAATTGCCCATAATTCACTCTGTTTGCCCCCCAAATTTTTGCACAAACTATTGTTGTGAAATGCTCTTGGGATGTTTGCATATCTCCCAAGAGCATTTCACAACAATAGTTTGTGCAAAAATTTGGGGGGCAAACAGAGTGAATTATGGGCAATAATCTCCTCAGAGGGGGCATCATAGGCCTGCAGTGCATGCAGAGAGCTAGATAATAAAGCTCTGAGGAGATAATTATCTCATTATATGCTCTATTTTCCAATAATTATTATTGGAAAATAGAGCATATAATGAGACTTTCACAGGCATTCTTAGTATATAAAGAATGCATAGGAATCTGTCTTTTAGAATTTAAAAATGATGAACGGGTCATCAAAACGTCATTCAAAATTAAAATTATTGCTGATTTTTATTCTTAATTGTTTGTTCAAAACCTCCGTTATTAGAATGTTACAACTGATATTAAAAAACGCAATTGTCTCACTAATTGTATGATTAAATTAAAATGTAATTTGCTAGGTGTTTTTGTTTGGGTTTTATAATATAATAAAGATATGTAAAGTTTGTAGCAAATTGTTGTTTGTGCTGTATTCAACTGAAAGAAATGCAATATCCCATTAATAGAAATAGATTTTAGAGTAAATAATCCCCCACACACTAACAAAGAAGCTTTTAGCAAGTAAAATAGCCTGAAGAGGATTATGTGTTAGGATTTTTAGGAAAGTCATTTTAAGGATTAGAACATGGAATGCAAGTAAAAAGCTTTCAAACATGTTAAATGTATGTGCTATGTGTTGGCCAGTATCTCAAACATGATGCCCTTTGAAGTTCATTTTCATATGCATGTTTTACTTTGATAAGATCGTACCCTTTCACTTCAGATCTAATTTTTCCATATCCACTTGTTAATGCAGTTTCCAAAACCAGCCTGTATTTAAATCACTGCTTCATAACTTCCACTTGAGCTATTACACTTGAGTTTTACCCAAACACTTAAATGCTACTGGGGTAGATTCTGTGTCCATGAACTTGTGGTTTGACTCTGGGAGTGCAGGGTTAACCCCCTCCCCCCCCACCCAAAAAAAAAAAAAAAAAAGAAAAAGCTGTTATAAATTAAGTTGCTGTTCGTTCTTGATAAAAATGTAGTCAGTTATTGCAATGCATACAACACAAATACAAGAAAAGACAACCAAGAGGTTTGGATAAGGTTCAGTTAAAACCTCTGAAGTTGGCAGNCCCCCCCCCCCCCCCCCCCCAAAAAAAATTGACAAGCTCATCCCTTCCCTCACAGGATGTACGGTTACAAGAGTTGGATGAAGAGCATGGTCTCTTACAGAGTGGCCTTCAGGTTATAGAAAAAGCAAGAAAATGGTATTTCAAACGAATCACAACCATTCAGGAAGAAAAGTTGCATCTTCAAAGTGAAGATCAGTACTCTCTTGAACAGGTAACTGGCATTACATGGAAATTATTTAGCACTCTGCACACACCCTCCCCCCCCCCCCCTACATATCAGACTCAGCGACCTATCATTCTTGATACTTGTTATTCATGTAACTAGGATACACTGCATGAGTGTGTTAATCATGTACTGACCAAGCAATTTGGTTAGAAGACTTGCCACAAGTCGACTTCATAAGTTTTAGGGTAGAATAGCTAAGCAAGCAAAGTGAGCTGTCATGTTTTGGGCTGTGAAGTGGCGGTGTGTTGCAGAGTGACCAAGAGAGCGACAGGTAATGAATAAACAAGGCAAACTGGACTTTCCTGAAAGTCTATTTGGTAACTAAAAGTAATTGTGTTTATTAACATTTCTTTCATGCCATACTGTCCTGTTTTAGTTTCAATATGAGCTACTGCTGCATAAAACAAGAAGAAAAGAACTTGGTTTGGATGAAGACTCGTTCAAGGAACACAGACAGTATATTAAAAGTATCAATGACTGTTTAGGAAAGATCATCGAAGGAAAATTGCCAGAAAAGGTATGCACATGTACAACACACAGACTACTTTCCTGAAATATTCACAAGGCTTACTCGAGTTACATTGTAGATTACAATTGATTTTAAAATATTTTTAATGTTTTTGGGGTTTTGTTTATCAGTGAATAATTTCTCCTTGTCTTTTTAGGAGTCCTTAAGTACTAAAACAGAAGCTGACGTTGCACGAAGAAGGCTTCAGGAGGAAATAGAACTTCTAAGAAAGGTAGATGATAATAATTAGATAATTTCCCAACATAGGTTACGTCTTGGCATTTAATCAGTATCTTTATGTGGCTCAGAATCCCACTAATACATGAAAGGCAATACTTAATCTTTGGCAAATTGATATTAAATAAATTCTGTAATGTTTTTCAGGAGGTTTCTGACAAGGGCAACAAAATTGCTCAGCTGGAAAGTGAGAAGTCTGCTCTCATTCGGGACTTGTTTAACAACAAGGCATCATCAGGGAAAAATGGTGTGACAACAAAGAAATCAAATAAGATCTTCTGATTGGGTATCAGACCAGGATAGTTTGATGATGTGAAGGCAAATTGTGGCCAATGATGGCTAACATCATGAGCAAAGATCTCTTCCAGCATAGGGAGTGATCAGCTCTCCTCGCAGTAGCTGCCCAAGGTTGATATGACGCATTGACAAACCTTATGGGACTGGTGTTTGGAGATCCTGCTATGGACAGAGAGCTACTTGCTGTATTTAATTATAAAGAGGACAGTGTGTTGTATGAAGATGCTATCGTACAATTTTATATTTAACAGATTCAAAACTCAAACTATATGATCGGCTGAAATGAAATAGTTGCGGTCGGCTTTGCTTCCACCCTCTGTTTCCATTATGGAGACCAATTTATGTGAAAAAATTCGAACAATTTTTCTGGCTGCCTGAAGTAGTAAATGTTACATCGGTGGATCGATTTACATTTTGTACATTTTTTGCAAACCAAACTTGCTCTGTTCACCGGGCTGCATTATTCGACATATGAAGCGCGCTTGCACTTGCATGTCTCAATCGTATTTTCTTGAGGACAGGTTGCCATGGACATTTCTGAGCAGTGACCGCTTTCAAATTTTGCTTGTGAGCACTTTCAAAGCAGGGACCACTTTTCAAGGTCACGACAGTTTTAGTGTTTTCTAATGCAGTTATGCAGAGTAACTGCACGAAACAGAGGATGATCTAAACAGTTCATCGCTTGCTAAATTATAGATGTATATTTTGGGGGGTATGTAATCTCGCCGTCGTCAAATATTGTTTTTATATTGTCATAATCAATTTATACAAGAGAAAAAATATTGTAAAATATTAACGCCAGAATACAATTTTCAATCAGACAAAAATAATTATTATACGATTTCGTAGACTTTATAGTATGATATAGCTCACTCAATCACTCATTCACAAATTATGAACATGGATTTCTCTAGATGGTGTACATACATAGACATTTTGATGAAAAAAATTATAGTTTATTGGTGATTACAATGTAGCTTACTTCTGTCCACGGTAGTCCACTGTATAGACTTGAGCGATCGTTCACGGTGTAACGAGATGTACTGGGTCGAGTTAATTATGCAAAGAGCCTTAGACCCGACTTTCAGTCGTCGCCCATTTCCGTAATTTTCCGGCCCAGGAAGACTTCAGTAGACGGCTGCGAGAAAACCGTCAGATCCAACACTTGAATCTGCTTGAATACAATGTTGCTGCTCGCAAGCAGTGCCCGCTGCTGGGTGGCCAGCTTACCGCATTGGTACCAGAATAATAACTTCTTGTTAATAATAACTTCAATGTACAGGATCTCAAGACATTGTGGTTTTAACTGCTTCTTTTCAAAATGACTAATAACATTTTGCTCGGCCACGTGACGTGCGGCCCGAACTAAGAGGTCCGTGTGGTAAATGTTTTCCCATACGGCCCTCCCACTCGGTCAAATAACGTTCAATGACGTGATTGTTTAAGTAATTCTGGAGCAGGTTAGAACCAGTATATAAATTGAATCCGTATGGCCATGCATATGTCAAGCTGCCAGACAGAATAGATAACAATATCACTGTACGCTAGTCTTTTTGGAAGGGCTGGGAGAGATTTATTTTTGTGAACAAAATTGATCTCGGTGTAGGTTCTAATTTTTCTAAGTTAGCCCCGTGATTTTGTCTACCCTGTATTCACACTGTGAAAAATTGTCATTAGTTCGACTCCTACTCGGTAATGCTTCAGTTTCTCCGGCTATTTTTGTAACTGTTTTCTTTCCATTACACGAATAAGAGCCGACGTCAATTTGCCGCGCAGGCTGTTTATAATAGACCATTTCTCCACTTGTAAATGTGCAAATTAAAAGGGCCTTCCCTGCTGGGACGAAACTATAGCAATAAACATGGGACAAAATCTATAAATAAATAATAGCGAAAAGATACAAAAGAATAATGAAATATTTGAAGCTTCAATTTATCATCACGCCATCACCTGACTGGGTTTAAACAGGTGTCTGCGGGTAGTCTTGGACGAATGCGCTTTGTTATTTAATTAAAATTAGAACGACGCCTGGCGGAAATTGAAATTTTTCGAGAAGTCAAAAATAATCGGTAAGTTTCAACACTGGGAAAGGTCACCTAATTGAAATCTGCTGTTGTGGAGTGTCTTGCTTCGAAATCTGCAATTGTGAACAGTTTAATTTCGCGTTTATGGCATCGCGAAGGTTTATATCAGAGTTACTGCCAAGATGTTTCTGTCTCAGCGAACGATACGAAAGTGTTTGGCGTTAGCGTGCGTCTTGTTATCTCTCTTGACCCTCTTCAGTTACCGGCTGTTATCGTCTCCGTGTGAGTGTCCGAATGAAAAAGACAAGGATTCTGCCACTGTATCAACAGTCGCTAATGGTCCGGCTTCTCGATCTCAAGAACACGTGGACCGTTTTACACCGTTTATATTTGTCGGTGGGTTCCCAAGAAGCGGAACGACTCTCATGCGGGCCATGCTTGATGCACATCCCGACATCAGATGCGGGCAAGAAACCCGAGTGATCCCGAAAATCCTGCTTAATCTTCCAAAGATATTGAACCTTTTCAACGACAGGGAGAAGCGGCGAAGAGAAGAAGCAGGCGTGACACAAGAGCTGCTGGATTCTGCGGTTGCGGGGCTTGTAGGGGAAATCATTGCCAAGCATGGAGAACCCGCTCCTAGATTGTGCAACAAAGATCCCCTTACCTTCCGGAATCTCAGTTATTTAGCCAGAATATTTCCCAAGTCCAAGTTTATTTTCATGGTAAGAGACGGCCGCGCAGTCGTTCACTCGATAATGGAGAGGAAAATTGTCATCCGAGGGGTTGACAACCACCGTCCTGAAATTTTGTTGAGAACTTGGAATGAAGCTATCAGAGAAATGAATGTTCAGTGTGCAAAGCTAGGGCAAGCAAGGTGCTTGAGAATTCCTTATGAACATCTGGTGCTGCTCCCCTCAGAGAGCATGAAGATTGTCTTGGAATTCATTGATGTTAGTTGGAATGATGCGGTAATTCATCATGAAACTAAGATAGGAAAACCTGGAGGGGTGATACTTTCGAGGTAAGCTGGAGACATTTTAAAAACCTCTTAATTCTGAAGAGAGATAAACATCAGAAAACAAATATTGATATCCACCTTCATGCTGGGAGGTGATGACACTGGCCTGTTAACTCTCCCCAGTCTCACTCCATTCATTCACACTCTCCCCAGACCCTTTATATGAGGCCGTGAGTCCCAGACTAATCAAACAGGTTTAAAAATCGAGTGTATATTGTTAGACTCAGTTCTGTGCTGACATTTCAAGCTATTCTCACATACCTACCTTTTCTTCATATGATGTCACTTTAGCCTTGAGAAGTCAACAGATCAAGTGAGGGAAGCTATAAACTTAAAAGCATTGTACAAGTGGTGTGATAGGTTATCACCAACTTTACTTGAAGACACTGGCAGAATTGCTCCTGTCATGAAAACACTGGGTTATGATGCTTGGAAGAAATGGCCTGACTACCGCAAGATGAACTCTATTGTTACAAAATTATATAAGAAATACTTGTAAAGAAATAGTTATTGATTGCTTGAGGTCAAACTTTTTTCAGTGGATTAAAAGCTTTGAGTAGTATTGCAATGTAATTAAATTTTAATATAAATTGAATTGACTTTATTCATCAGGTAGCTTGTCAAAGGATTCTAAATGATGTCCTTTTTTGTAGTTATGCCGAGTTATTTTTTTTTTTAGTTTAAAAATAAAGAAGTTACAAGTATTTTGTCTTGACTTTTCCTTTTTTTTTTAATTCTCAATTAACTTGTGCAAAACACTTTTCTTGATAATTATTGAATTTAAATTTAAATATGATTTTACGTTTATAAGTACTGTCAATAGTCAGAGTATTAGACTAAGTACAAGAATGTGAACAAAAATATCTTAAAAAGTTACGGTAACCTAAACACCATTGCCTGTGTCAAGTATAAGTCAAATGGAAAGGTCCATTTCGGTTTCTTCCGACCGGAATATTCGGGACCACCACTGGAGATGATCCATTTTGACGGGTCCGACCGAAATCTGCCTTTCCATTTTCAGTTTCATTGGAGGCTATTCATTGCCCTACTTCTCTTCACTTACGTGGGGAATTCGTAAAAGGAATAAAAAATGGTAAGAGCCATTGGTCTTGGTTGGCTCGGTTTGATCGAAAAATGTCGTTCCATTTTCCTCAGGTATTCTGACCGGTCGGTCCGACATAATGGAAAGCACCCCGGGTCTACTAGCCTACGTTGCAGGACGTTGCAGGTGTAAACGGGGAAGGTGTAGGGAGGCAAAAATTAAAACGCGACTCCCCGCTAGGGTCAATCTCGTTCCCAGAGCCTTCGTTACCCTTGTCCAGCGGAATAGGAAAACAAGGGTAATGAAGACGTCTGGGGACGAGATTGCGCTAGGGTCCATAGTCCATGGGCCAGGACCCTGGAAAGAGCCATTTGGTACCAAAACAAGGGACAAATTCTAACACTTATTTCTAACAACATTGATTCCTCTAGGTTATACTGGTGTATGATAACCATGCCAAATGAGTAGCTTTACTAGGATTATCACGTGATTAAATGACGTCACTCGGTTTGGCTGAATAAGCAGAATTGGTAAAAAGATGCCTAATAGTTAAACGCAAACCTGAAAATGTTACATACATTGATTTTTGGTTATTGCAAACTTCAAACGCAGTTTTCAGACCTAATTCCAATCACTTATATATGACTTA